AAGAATTCCTGGTCAACACACAGTGAACACACATCCAAAACACACACACACACACACACACACCCCTGACCAATGCCTAAGGAACTAAGAGGTTCCAAGTGCCCAGTCTCCCCAACCCCTCCCTGCCCTTCTCCCCACCCCACACCTACATAGCTGCTCTGGCTCTAGCAGCTTGAATGTTCTCATTTCAAAGAGCACTAACTCTGGGCCCCAGCTCTCCTACTGGCTGTGTGACCTTGGCCGTGCTACCTAACTGCACACCTCACTTTCCCCCTCTGCAGTGGGGCTGGAGATAATGACGGGAGCTAACTCAGGCATAATTGTGAGGTTTAATGACATGGGGCATGTCCGTGGCCCAGAGCAGGGTTAGCTGTTCGGAGTACACCGTCCTGGTTGAGGCCAGTGGTGACCTCACAGCTCCCAGGGGACACTCAACAAGAGATTCTGGGGGATGGGGGGCATGCTGAGTGTTCCTGTGGCCCTGCCGCTCCGCAGCTGCCTTGCGAAGACCAGATCATCCTCCTGAAGGGGTGCTGCATGGAGATCATGTCCCTGCGGGCGGCTGTCCGCTATGACCCCGAGAGCGACACCCTGACGCTGAGCGGGGAGATGGCTGTCAAGCGGGAGCAGCTCAAGAATGGCGGCCTGGGCGTGGTCTCTGACGCCATCTTTGAACTGGGCAAGTCACTCTCTGCCTTTAACCTGGATGATACGGAAGTGGCTCTGCTGCAGGCTGTGCTGCTAATGTCAACAGGTACCTGCCTTCTGGCTGGGAGGGCTTGGAAGCTTCCAGGGGCCCAGAGCTTGGCTGGGCCCTGGGCCTGTCACTCTCCTCTTCCCTGAATCCTACAGTCTTTCTCTGTCCCCCATGCTTACCTCTGTCACCAGGCCCACTCTATGCCCCCAACCCCTGCTCTGTCACCCATCCCCTCCTTGGTTCTGATGTCCAGGCCCATCTGTTGCGTCCCCATGCCCCCTCTGCTCCTTGTCCCATCTTCACCCCATTCTTTCTCTCACCACCCCCCATCTGCTCTCTGTTGCCCACATTTGCCTTTGTTCCCCTACCTGCCAGGTAGTTTCTGTCCCCCATCCCTCCTCTGTCCTCTGTCCTCTCTCTCTGTCCCTCTTCCCCTCTTCCCACCAAACCTTCTCTTTGCCCCCCTAGTCATGCCCTGTCTCCAGGTTTCCCCCGCTCTTCCCCCTCTCAGTCCCTTTACCTCTCCAAGCCCCCAGCACCCCAGTCTCCTCCTCAGCCCTGCCCTTGCTCCTGTGCCTGCATTGCGCTGTGTTCCCCTCGCTTTCCCCGCTGGAGCCCTGCTGCCTCTGCCTCCCTTCGTTCACTCACCCTCATGCGCCTCCTCCCCTGCAGACCGCTCGGGCCTGCTGTGTGTGGACAAGATCGAGAAGAGTCAGGAGGCGTACCTGCTGGCGTTCGAGCACTACGTCAACCACCGCAAACACAACATTCCGCACTTCTGGCCCAAGCTGCTGATGAAGGTGACTGACCTCCGCATGATCGGGGCCTGCCACGCCAGCCGCTTCCTCCACATGAAAGTCGAGTGCCCCACCGAACTGTTCCCCCCACTCTTCCTGGAGGTCTTTGAGGATCAGGAAGTCTAAAGCCTCAGGCGGCCAGAGGGTGTGCGGAGCTGGTGGGGAGGAGCCTGGAGAGAAGGGGCAGAGCTGGGGGCTGAGGGAGGCCCCCCACCCCTCTTCTCTCCTTCCTCTCATCCTCGGATAGATTCAGCTCCCACATACCCCTCCCCGCACTGCCCGTCCCTCCTCAGAACCTCCAGCCCTGGGACAGGGCAAACACACGAACTTGCTATGAAAAGGACAGTGTGGGAGGCTGGGGGACCGTGTCCTACAGTTCCCAGGACCCCGTCCTCTAAGAAGGTAGGGGGAGGGAGGGAGAACTAAGAGGGGACAAGCCATCTTGACCGTAGGGAATGGAGGAATGTGGGGTGGGGGAAGATGCCCTCTTCTCAGCCCCTACACACACATACAAGAGAGAGCCCCCCCCCCCCCCTGCCCAGTTCCTTGACCGAGGTTCCCCCTCCAGGCTAAGGGCCTCTCTGCTTCCCCAGACGCCTGGGTGCAAAGAAAGGCTTGGCTTGGCTCCTCCCCCACTGGAGGTTAAAAATTAGTCATTCTAACTGCACTTTGGAAACCAGGCAAGGGGAGAAGATAAATGAAGAAAAACTAGACAGAGAGAAAAAGAAAAAAAAAGAGTGAGCGACTGATAGAGAGAGAGAGATGATATTAAGTTATTAACCGAGGCTGGCCCCCTCCCACCCCTAAGCACTTTGAGAGCTGCCCCTCCTCCCCCTAAATCAGAGAGAACTGCCCCCCATACCAGGTCCCCGAGGGTAGGGCTGCCGATCAGAGCTGTGAGTTAACACAACAGGGTCCTGGCCATCCCTCCTTGCCTTGCCCCTCCCTCTGTGCCCCTTTGGCACCCCCTGCCCAGTGCCCCCTCTGCTCTCTGCCACTCGTGCCCGCTGAGTTCCATCTACCTCTCACGCTGGATGCCAGCCGGCCCCTCACCAGCCTGCCCTGCTGCCCACACAGCCCCCCTTTCAAGTGCCCAGTCCCAGGGGCCTCTCCCTGTCCCCCAACCCCTTCCACACCTTGGCACCCACACAGGAAAAACTGTGGCTCCCCCTCCTGCCTTCCTCATACCTGCAGTATTAGCTACAATCCAGATGCTGCTGCCCTGGGGGGGGGCAGGGGGGGGGTGGTATGCGTGAGCTTCTCCCAGAGCCTCCACCCCCTTAGGACCCTGTCCCCATCTGTCTTCTGGGCTCTCTCTAACCTCTGCCCTCTTTCTTCCCCACTCCCACTCAATGCACTAACCCAGACTCTGGGCAGGCAGGCACCAGAATGGGGGTGTCTAGACAAATGGCACTTAGTTGGGGCCCCAGGGGAGGGGGCGGTTGGTGCTCCTCCTTTTTTCTTTGAAGCTCTTTAGGCCAGCCGCCCCTCTGCCCCTAGGACCCCTTTCCCCTCTTCTTTTCTCTAATTCAGGGACTTTGGCTTGAGCCACCTCCCACCCTCCTGGGGAGGAGTGCTCTGTTGGTCTGCACTTGGGTGAGCTGCCCTCCTCCTCTTCCTTTTGGCGATTGCCCACTGCCCACTCCACAGGGGAGAGAGGGAGGGAGGAGGTAGCCCTCCCATGGGTGGGGGGGAGGAGGGCGGGGAGGGACAGAGCAGACCAGAGGGCCCTGGGCTCAGGGCTGCATGTCGGCAGGGATGGATGGGTGGACACAGATGCCCCCGGAAGCCATGGGGAATGGGGCAGGGGCAGGGGGAGGGTGCCAGGGCTTCCTGCGCTTTGCACTATTGGGGCAAAAATGTCTTAAGCAGTGGGGAACCTGCCACCCCACCCTGACCCTCAGCCTGCCACAGCCCCCTATACACACACAGACACACACACACAGACACACACACACAGACACACACACACACGGGAAGGCTATGCTACGCTGCCCATCAGGGCGTGTCCTGCCCCTGCTGTCCAGGTGTTCTGACGGGGGTGGAGGCCTGGAAGGGTATCTGCTGTCACCTGTGCATGTGCCTGCCCTGCCGTTGGGCTCGTGGGCTGCCCCTGCTGTCTTTGTCTGTCTCTATCCTCTCTCTCTCCTGGGGTACTGATTCCTGTATTACTCCAGTCCCATGGGTAAGCCCTCTTGTACCCTTCTCTGGGGGTACACCACCCCTAGGGGCCCAGTGGAATTCCTGACCTGTCTGCTGTCTCCCCCATCCTTCCATCCCCACCTCCACCCTGCCCCCCCCATCCCCATTCTCAGCCATGGACATGGTGGAGAAAAGGCCTTGAAGGGGCTTGGCCTCTTCCCGGCACTTGGGAATCCCTCCCCACCCCCAATCATATGAGCTGTGATCCCCTACTCCTCCCCCTATCTCTGACCCCTCCCCCTTCACTCTAGGTGATGTGGGGCGTATGTGTGCGTTTCTCTGCGTGAATGTGTGAGCAAGTACACGTGGTGGGGCAGGAGCCAGGGGACTTAGGAGCGCCACGCACCTGCTCTAGAGAGGCAGCTGTCCCAGTCCCTGCTTTGGAAGTGGGGGACAGGGCCCTCTCCTGGGGGCCATTGGTGCTAATGAGGGGGATGGCCTTGATGTGGGTGCTCAGCATGCCTCCCCCAGTATTGGCCCAGGGCACTAGGGCAGGCGGGGCGGGGCAGCAGGTGCAGTATTGGTGGGAGGAGGGACTGCTGGGAATGGGCCAGGCCAGGACAAGGGGGTGCCAGAGCCATGACCACTCCCCCGTGCCCACCACCCACCTCTCCATCTCAGTATCCCCCCCCCATCACTCAGAACACACATACCTCATCCAGCCTCCTCCCTGCTCAGCCTTGGGGAGGGTGGGGGTGGAGGAGCCCCTACCCCTTCCCCTGGTGGCGGGTCTACAGGGCTGGGAGAGGGCAGGGCGTGTGACACAGACACCGTCCATAAGGGGGACAGTAATTCCTGCCCCAGGAACTCCTGGGTGGGGGGAGGGGGCACTTCCCTGGAGGCGCTACTGAATGTATGAGAAGCTGGTGCTGGGGTGGGGGGAGGGGGGTTGTGGCCAGAAACAGGGAAGGAGGTAGGTCCCCTTCCCCAGGGAGGGGTGGGGAGACCAGTAGGGGTGACTTGGGGGGGCTCCTACTCCTGCCCCACGTTGACAATCAGTATGTCTGTTACGTGCGATTTTTCACCCCGTTGTGTTTTGGGTCAGGATTTTAAAGAAAGATATTTTTATGGTAATTGTTGCTCGTCTATTTTACTATATATTTATGTAATAAATATATGATGAAAATAACCCCCTTGGGCACCCCCCTTAGACTTGTGTGCTGTTTCCCTGTATCCTCCCATCTGCTGGCAGAGTACCCACCCCACAAACTGACCAGATGGAGAGGTGTGCCCCAGCCTTGGCAATATTTCCACTCCACCCCCCCGCCCCCCGCCCCAAACGAGCACACATCACAGAAGCCAGCTCAGCTGTGAACTATTGGATTTGAGACAGGAATAGAACAAATCGGGGGGCTAGAGAATAAGGGAGGGGTGGGAGAGTGATTTAAATAGGGGAGGATGGGAGGGTCAGTGATGGGGGAGGGAGGCAGTTATTTACAAGAAGGCTCGGGGGGCCAGAGGCTCATCTTGGAATATTTTATAACAATATAAATAAGATTCTGGTTTGCTTTTCCTTTTCGTCTCGTAAAGGAGAGAGAAGTGCAGAGTTCGATTCTGTACAAGGGGGCAGCGGCAGAAGGCCGGCCGGGCGGGTCACTGGGCGTCCACCCGGAAGGACAGCAGCTTCTCGGAATGCATGTTGTTCAGGGTCCGCAGGTCCGGCAGCTTGAGCAGCAGCTTGGTGAAGCGGGAAGTCTCCGAGGGCCGGTTCTTCAGCACCAGAGCCCGAAGAGCCCGCAGCAGCGTCTCCTGGAGCTGCTCCACCGAAGCGGAATTCTCCATGCCCGAGCGGTCTGTGGGGAAGACGACAGCAGTGAGGCGGGCTCCCCGAGCTCCTCTGAGGAGGAACCGGAGGAGGCCTGCGAGGAGGTCTCCAAGGAGGTCTCCGAGGAGGAGGAGGAGGACGCGGCCGCTGCCGGCGCCGCTGCCGGTGCAGCCTCTCCCTGAAGCCCCTCAGAGGGCCCATGGGGAAGGAGGAGGAGGAGAGCGCAACTCCTCCTCCCAGGCCTCCGCCCCCAAGAGCAGGAGGTGGCTGAAAGCTTGGGAGCGTGGGCTCAGCAGGGCTGGTCACCTCCCATCCCACAAGGCCACTCTCCTTCCCTAAACAGGCCAAACGGCGTCCAGGCTCCCTTGCTTTTCGCTCTGTAGTTCCCTCTGCCTGGGCTGCCCTACCCCCTCTCTGCCTGGCAATATCTTACTTGTCCTGTGAGGCCCCACTCAAGTGTCACCTCCTTCCCCAGCTCCCCCAGGCAGAAATAGTTGTCTATGCTTCCAAAGCCCTTGGTTCATGCTTCTACTGTGACACTTATCTCACTGTTTTATAATTAGTCGGGCATGAGTCTGTCTCCCCAGCTAGACTGTGTCTGAATCATGTCTGTATCCCCAGTGCCCGGTGCAGGGCCTGGCATAGTGTAGGTACTCCATAAAAGGTGTGTTGAATTGAACTGCGTCCGCCTCCTCCCCGGGGTCAGGCTCAGGCGAGAGCTTGACCTACCCGCAGAGACGAGCACCACCGCGGTGAAGAGGCCCAGCTCCTCCTCGGTAAGCGCCAGGGAGTTGAGTTTCTCGCTGAAGTCAAACATGGCACTGAGCAGGTCGCCCATGCCCATGGCTCCGAGTTCCTGCAGGCTATAGGTGGTGCGGCTGAGGAACATCACTGTCTGGTCCTTCACGTTGAACAGTGATGCAAAGCGCACCATCAACACCTAGAAGGGGGAGGGGGCAGGGACAGTCATCCTCTGGTGGGGTGGGGTGGGGACCACTTGCCAAATTGCCCCCGAAGTTTTCCAGAGGGTTTAACTGGTGCTGCCTTAGATTTCTCAGGGAAAAGCGAGCGTGGTTTCTGAATGGGCAGTGGGGGGGGGGGGGGGGAGAGATGGAGGGATGGGGAACATCACCCCCGCTTTGGAATCCGGCAGGCCTGGATCTGAGTCTTAGCTTTGTCACTCCCCGTGACCTCGGGCAAGGTCACAAAAGTTCACCAAAGTGAATTTGCTCATGCCTAGAAGGGGGTAGGGGGTAGCAGTGTGCCCTAAGGTGTTCCTTTAAGGTAATGAGATGTGTTTAGACCCCAGCTGAGATGACAGGAGACCCAGCCATCCCAAGGCAGGATGAGGAGGGATTCTGCCCCCTCTGGCAGTCAGAGTCTGCCAGGACAGAAATAGCGGGGTTCCAAAGCCTTTCAGAGCCCCTGCCCATCCCAGACACCAAGTTCTTCTGCTGGATCCTTCCCAAGGTCAAGATCAGGGAGTCTAAAGGGTCACTCACCTCAAAGGTGCCAGCCTTAAGCAAGGTGACCTGGTCGTGCTGAGAAAGATCACGGAAGCCAGGGATGTGCTTGGCAAACTCTACCACCTCCCGCACAGCAGGTGTGAAGCTCATGGAGAAATCCTCCCAGATCTCTTGCACGGTTCTCCCACTGCGTCCGTGTGGGTACATGTTCATGGGACATGCCTGGAGAAGGAAGGGATGTGGGGAGGCGAATATCAACCCGGCTGACTCAGATGGGCTCCCCCCGCCAGCAGGGCTGGACCCCAGTTTTGGCCTGGGTTAGGGACTGTGGTCCTGGAGGATGGGTCTTCGAGGTAAAGTAGCAATCAGGTGTCAGGTGGAGATCAGGGATTGGCAGGCAGAGCCCTTACTGCGGGGCTGAGCATCCTCCCTTGACACGAGGATATTCCCGAATTAGCGTCCAGGCACACCCAGCTGCCTTCCGCTAAATCCAGTCTCCCAGGCCCCCTGCCCACCTCACCCCCAGTGCCCTCACCAGCAGAACGTTCTTGGAGTTGCCCTGCCGTAGACTGTTGGCAGGTGCTTCGCCTTCTGGGGCTGGGTACACATGGGTGGGGCAGAGGCGGTGCCCGTTGCTGTTGGGCTGCTGGCAGCTGTGGTGGGCAGGGCCAGGGGGCCAGGCGGGAGGGTAGGAGGAGGAAGCCTGGCGTAAACCGTTCAGGGCCTCGTTATGACGCTGAGCAGCCATGATATTGTTGTCAGTGGGGACTGGGGGGCAGCCCTGACTCTCCCAACAGTGTGGGGTGGTGGCCGGAGGGCTGCCCGACGCATGGTTGGCATTGAAGTTGCCCGGTGAGGTGCCCAGCTTGTCATGGGCATAGGTGAAGATTTCTCGGTGGGCCCGGGCCACCTGGGATATCACATCCTCCACTGTGGGCTCAGGACTTGGGGACCGGGGAGGCGTCAGCTGTTGTGGGAACTGGGAGAAGCCCACCAAGGGTGAGGGGGCCGGAGCGGGAGGTGGTGAGGGGCCCAGGGGGCCTGGGGTCGGATGTTGGGCCGGCGAGGTTTCCAACGGGCACTGGCTGCTCAACTGGTTGTTGGCCAAGTTCATGGCACTCTGCATCTCGGCAAGCATCCGCTGCTTCTCTCGTTTGGGGATGCGCCCAAAACGCACAGCTGTGACAGGATGAGAGCAGCGTCAGGAAGTTCTCAGACACGCTCACGTGCTTCTCTTCCTTCCTTCCTCCCCAAAGGGCAAGGCCCTGAAGGCCTGGGGTTCCACCTCAAAACCAGAACCGAGGCCGCGCCCACTGAGGGGGGTTTTCCAAGTAGGGATTGCCCTAGGAGGTGGCCAGAGGAGCTAATAGGAAAGAAGTGTGTTTCTCCAAGAGGACAAAAGACAGGCATCCCCGACACAAAGGAGACACGAGATGACGTGTCTCCCCGTTGGGACTTTTTTTTAAACGGAGGGATTCACTCAGAAACTTTGGGTGGAAGGAAGGGAGTGGGGGGGCGTGTGGCGGGGATGCCTGTGGCGCTGTCTTACCATCTCGAGACATGCCGACCGAGAGACACTTCTTGAAACGACACTGCTGGCAGCGGTTGCGGTTGATGCGGACAATGGAGCAGTTTTCATTCTTCAGACATCTTTTGTACTGGATGTTTTGCTGGATGCTCCGGCGGAAGAAGCCCTGGAAGGACAGGGGCAGCTATAGAGAGCATGTCCGTCCAGGCCAGGCGTCTGCATCCAGAAGACTCAGGTCACCCCGCCTCCGCCCTGACCCCCTGCCTCACCTTGCAGCCCTCACAGGCATGCACACCATAGTGGAAGCCCGAGGCGACATCCCCACACACTTTACACAGGAGCACCATGCCGTTCAGCTCTGCGGGAAGAGAGAGGCGGCGGGTGAGCGGCAGGCCTATCCGAGCAGGCCCAGATGGGCAGGACGGCAGTTGGTGCAACTCTAGGAGAAATCCCTGAGGCCGGGGAAGGCCCTGGGCACAGGGGCCCCAAGGCCCCACCTAGGCCTGGCCGCTTTTCCCCCAATCAGCTGGCAATTTACGCACTGGTGATGTTGCTGGTGCTCTTGCTGGGGGACACGCGGCTGCTATCTTCCAGGGCCACTTGTAGACCCCCGGGGGGGTTCCCATTATAGAAGGAGGAGGAGGACGATGAGGAGGAAGATGAAGAAGGGGAGCCATCATCACTCAAGCTGGGTGGAACGCTCCCAAAGGAGCGAGCTGGGTCCTGGGTGAGGGAGCCTGTGGGCGACGGTGGGAAGTAGGCAGAGCAGCCTTGCGCCAGGGACTGGAAGCTGCCATTTGAGCTGTCACTGTAGAGAGACTCAGGGCTGGTACGGCTTGGGGAGGAGCCGCTGGAGCCAATGTAGGTGATGACACCACCTGGCAGGAGAACGTGAGGGAAGAGGGTGTCAGCCTCCATACACCTTTGGTCCCAGGGCACCACTCCGCTCATTCCCCCCACCTGCCTCCCCCAGACACTGCTGGATGCTCAGAAGTTAACCACGTGGAACCCTTAATCTTGGGAGTCCCAGGAAGAGCCGCACTGAGCAACTTCCCAACACATACCAGACATGACATGGCCCACCAACATCCCAAGACCCTTTGCAGGGTACAGTCAGTTTCTGCCTTGGGTGTGAGGCTCTCCCTAGAGGCAGGACCTCTTCAGGCATCTCACATATGCACCGCTCCCCACACCTGGCCTCAAATGCCTTCCCTGGGAATATCGACAGCAGCTAAAGATTTCGTCGTCAGCGGCAGACCAGAGGATGGGATGAGCTGTTGAGATCCATTCAGAATGCCCAGTTTTTCCCTCCCCCCACAAAAAAACTGGCTGCCAATGTTAACACCAAGACCATTCCAGGGATGAGACTATGGCGGGCCAGCGAGCCAACACTAAGGAGAGTAGAGGTCTTACAAGAGTAAACCAGTTACATTCCCCCAAAACTGGAAGACATATTCTCCAAAGATAAGGTCTTGAACCTGCCCAAGCCGGTTCCCCTGGCCTCCAAGAGCAAGAGTCAGAACAGATTCTCCCTCTGAGTCCAGGAAAAGACTTAGCAGTGCACATTACAGGAGGTGGACACGAAAAACAAATTGTCCAGCCTAGGACTTTGGAAATCCCCTTCTAGATCTCTCAGCCTGGTGACAATGACCTTGGCTCTCTGGCCATTCAGGGACTTTGGCCCTCTGGTTACACTGCCAGCCAGGTGGCTGTGTTCCCATGATAAAAGCAGGAGAAAAGGTGACCTGCCTGCCACTCCTGTACCAAGCACTGAGATTGGCCTGCCACAGGTGGGTTGGAAGAAGGGAGGATCCTAGGACACGTGTGAGCCGACACAAGCCATGTCACCGTGTATCCAGAGGCACATGTCTCGCTCACCCACTGACACACACTGAGCTGGGCAGGGCAACCTTAAAATAGCTCAAGGTTGGTCAGGGTGAACCCAGTTCCCAGTAAAATAGTTGCACAACAGATCAGCTCCTACAGTTTCAGGGTTTAGGTAGGGGGTGGGGATGGGATATTATCTGGTGGTAAATGAACATGACCCAGTTCACCCATCCCCCAAAAGGAAGTAAGACCTTCATCCAAAGATAATCCTAACCTGGAAGTGAGGGACATGCCTAAAAGTGTCTAGTTCTAGGTTTAGTTCTATCACAAGCAACTTGATTTGTGACCTAGAGGAAATGAACTCCCCTCTCTGGGTCTCAGTTTTCCTTTCTGTGAAGGAAAAAAAAAAAAGATAAAATCTTCACTTATGATTCTGAGATGTAGCTGTTCTGGGGAAGTCCTTGTGACAAACAGTTCGTGGGGGTGGGGAGTAAGACAGTGGCTGCAGGACTAAGGAAAGAGATGCTCCAGGAACAGTAAGAATTTGGAACGTGGCGAGGCTGAGTCTAAAGGCAGTAAAGTGAAGTAGGTGCAAACAGAATAAAGAGGAAGGAAACGAGGAGAAGGGTGGCTAGATGTGAGGTACCACTGAGGAGTGTAAACATGAGGCCACGAGAGGTCAGGGATGGCTCCATCTTACTCTTCTTCGGTGATGGGGAGAAGGGGGCCCCAGGCAGGCGGACAGGAAAAGGAGGCAGGCGGGGGCGGTGAGTCAGCCCAGCTTCACCCAGATCTTGGCGGGGCGGGGCGGGAGCCGGGCCCTCAGCCGGCCTCACGTCCCCACTCCACGTGTGCGTCCTGCACGTGGCTCCCCAACGAGGAACCCCGGAACTCGAGGCTCCGCCCTCTCCGCTTCCCGTCAGTCGAGAGCAGCAGCCCCGCCCCCGCCCCGCCCCTCCTGGGCCTCTAGGTCCTGGGCTGGGCCCCAAACGCCAGCCCGGCCGGGGCAACTGAGGGGAGGAGAGATGGGAACACGCGTTGCCGGGGCGACCGGGGGGGGCGGAGCTCATTATGTAACGGGGCCGGAATGCAACGACCAATGGGGTGACGGCCACGGCTTCTGCTGAATGAAAACAAACGCAGCACGTGGGCCCGACTCCGCAGCCATGTGAGCCCTCCGGGCCTCCCGGGCGCTGTGGGTGTCCTCCCTGGGGCAGGGCACCACTCAGCCGGCTCCTCAAGTGCCGCTCCCTACTGTCACTGAGGATTCCCCAGTGAGATCCGACCCATTCTCCCAGCCCCTCCCGCCTGGAGCCCCTATCGCCCCACTGCTTCTCAGGTTCCCTTGAGCATGCAGGAACTAGGGGAAGAGGAAGGAGGGGGGTCCTCTTTCCGAGAAGGCCAGGCATGCCACAGCTGCAGGCGAGGGGGGGAGGGGAAGATAGGGGCGTTTGGTGCTCTGCTCCAAAGCTCCTAGTCCCTCAAAACTGTGCATCTTACCACACGTACCCGCTCTCCTTTACCTCCTGCCCGGGATACGAGTCCTTCAGGCTAAAAGGAGCTTTGGGACTCTGAGAGGTGGTGGTGCGGAGCTTCCGGGCGCATTCCCAGGACGAACTCGCTCTGGAAATCCCAGCCTATGGTCCCCATTATGCTAGCAAATCCCCAGGCCGAGGGAGTCGCCAGTCCCTTACAAAGTTCCTCTTGTTCTAAGGTATATATGGAAGTTAGGATACCGTGACAAAGGACGATGATAGTAAAGGAATTCCGGTACCTGTGTTATTGTTGGAGTCCAGGGTCGTCATGTCTTCACCGTCTGAGAGCGGTCATTCAAACTGGACCTTGATACAGACTGGAGGTTGCAATTGCCGCTGTCGCCCCCTGGGCAGTGACTGAGGGCGGGGAATGGACCCCGCGGATCACAAGCAGGATCCGAGGCACCCTGCAGCAAGGTCTTGGGGTGGCCGGACTGCAGCCCTGCAGAAGGGTAGGACGCAGAGGCAACGGAGGTCTGCTTTGCATGGGAAGAGCAGAGTGTGGGGGAGGGGGGAAATCAGCCTGCTGTAGTTCTGGCTGGAAGGTAGCAAGGAGGGTCGGGTCTCTGCAGTGCACGGGGTGCCACTGCCTGACGGCTTCACAGCGCTGCAGGGTAGCGAATCTGGAGCTCCCGGTGCAAAAGTCCCAGAGGGAGAGAGGATGCAGTCAGGAAGTAAGTAGGTGATAGGGAGAAACGGGGCACCCAGGCGCAAAGAAGCGAGACGTGTGCCCTGCTACGTTCCCTCGGCAGCAATATTTCACTCTGCCAATCTCAGCCGCCTTTTGCCCCAGCCTTTTTCCCTGGGACAGAGGGCTCTGCGCAGGCGCCAGCAACCCAGGGTTCCCGGGCCGCACGCGGCACTGGAGCAGGTACCATGTGATCCCAGGGAGCGCCTCGTGCCCCAGTGACACACTTTTCCAGCAGCAGGCACGTTGAGCTCCGTGCGCCTGCGTAACGCTAAGCCTTTCGGGATTCGTAGTCCACTGGCAAAGTGGGCGGACTGCGTTTATTTCCTCCTTTCTGCCTTGCAAAAGCCGTTGCTGGGGCGGGGGAGGAGCTAAGAGCCGAATGGGGTGGGGTGCACTGAAAAGTCAGGGTGGCGTGTTCGGAAAGCCTGTATGGCAGAGGCATGTGAATTCCTGGGGAGGGACTGGCAAGCTTGGCTGTTCCCTGGGAGATAAAAGCTAACAGGCTCTTTCTGCAAACCTTGCAAACGTGAGGGCTTCACGTGATTGCAGGACTGACCTCGCCTTGAGGTTACTGGTGACACAGGGAGAGATGACAAGTAGGGGAGGGAGATATCCCCAGAGTCAGGAACTTAAGCTGAATTTCTGCTGCCGGGCCAAGTCCTGGGACCAAAACGAAACGTGACCCTTTTTCTCTTCTACTCTCCTTAGGGAGAACACCCCTAGAGAAAGGAGTTGTTGCCATGGGGGTGAGGTTGTCCCTAGGGAGTCCCTGTTTGCTTGTATGACACCACCCCACTCATTCGAGGTGACTTTGGGGTGAGTCATTTCCCTTTGTCTGGGAAATAAAAAAGACCAGGGAGGGGAACTTTATGGTGAAAGTGCTTTGAGATCCTAAAGTAATGGGGCCAAAGGTGAGGCAGGGTTCTGGGAGCAGAGTGACACCCCATCCCCCGAACTACCAGCGCTGGAATGCAGCACGTAGATCCCACAGAAGGGAACTCAGAAAGGAACTTGAAGGTCATCTTAACCCCTGCCCCTTTTCCTCACTATCCTTTCCTTGGTAAGAGGAAAATGAGGCCTAGAAGAAGTAGGTGTCTCATGGTGAGACATTCATTCTGAGTTCCCTAATGCCCACTCTAAACAGCAGGGAGATGGGCAGACATGCAAGGGAAACACTGACTAGGGGTTAGAAATAGCAGCATCTCCCTTCAGAGCCCTGGTGAAAATGGGTCTCTCCTGCTCGAGGACTTGGACTGTGGGGAGAGATGGGGCCTCTTCTTCAAGTAGCAAAGTGAGCCTGAACCACCTGCTGCTTCCCACTAACTTCTCCTCAGTCCCAGCATGCTTCTCTGGAGGGTTTTTTGTTGTTGTTGTTGTTTCTGTTTTTGTTTTTCCTGCACAGGAAGCCCTTCCCCACTTGTTCACAGACAACTCCTAGGACAGCATTAGGGTTATGCCCAGAGACATGACAGTCACCAGAGAGGTAGAAAAAGGAGGAGTGTGGGCACCAAGGAAGGATGAACTTGGGTAGTGAGGAAACACGCAAACTGAGAGATGACAGTGAGGTTGACTGGGGGGACGTTATTGAGTAGCTGGCTTGACCACTGACCCTCAGACTCCTGGGAGATGTTCTCCCTAAAATGGGCTCCATAGAATAGTCTAGGCTTAAGCTTTATCCACACCCCACCCCTGCAAGGAAAAGTGGGAGAGAGAAGACAGTGGGCTCTTCCCTGGCCTGCCCTGGTCCTCTGGCCCAGAGCTGGGAAGCTGTAGCCCAGAGAGTGTGGGAGGACCTGGGAGGGGCTAGGACAAACAAGGAAAGAGACTTTTCAGGAAAACTTGGTTCTGACCTCAGCCTTCTCCCTTCCCCCTCCTGCCGGGCTCTGGAGGGAATGCTGGGAGCTGAATGGCTCTGTCCAGTACTGCCTGCTGTCTGTGCTCTTCCCGGCTCTTCCTCACAGCCAGGGCCAGGGTTCAGGTATCTGCCAGGGCTGGATTCAAAATCAGGGCCCCTGGCATGACTTCTAGTGCCCCATCAGCCCCAGCACCCACACCAGCACACTCCCCTTAGTTGTCCTGGACTCTCTCTGAGGCCCACAGCTCTGTTCTTTGCTCATTGATTCTGTCGACCCTGTTCTCCTTGTTGCTCTTTTTCCCTATAGGGAAAGAGCCAAGGGTCCACAATCTCTCCTTGAGTTTGCAGCCAGGGAAAGGAAAGAGGAAGCAGAGGCAGGGAGAGCCGAAATTCAGTCAGCCTAATTCTTGGCAAGGAGCTGGGTTGTTTTGCAGTCTGAGTGAGGTATGAAGGCGGAGGCTGGGAGGGAGGAACCAAAGAAGGCGGGGGGGTTACCTCTGCTCCCTCCTTCCTCTGCAGCACTTCTTTAGGGGCCCTTTTTCTTTCCTGACAAAGAGGTTAACTCTGGGATCTTCCTTCTATAATTGGAGGGAAGGATACAGAAGAATGAAGAGGCAGGACTCTTTGGTTCCAGAATCTTCTAGTCTCTCCACCCTGTTCCTTCTACTGCCAGCAGCTACTGGCAGAAGGACAGAGACCTATGGAACCCAGAGCCACCAAAGGGATGGAGAAAAGGCTGAGAAGTCTGGCCTTTGGAGACCTGGCTGGAATCTAGCTTTGGCCTCTCTTTGACCTCAACCTTGACCTTAAGACAACAGGTGCAATTCAACACAGCCTCCCACCTCTCCTGCCAGCTGGACATTCTAGTTCACTTCTATACACACACACACACACACACCATTCCTCCTATAGCTAATTTCAGCCCCAAAAGAAACTGGACTCTTCATAAACAGTGCTCAGATTAGGACCGTGTGGAATGGATGCAAAGCCAAGAGCTGGCACAGCCTGGGCTCCATGTTACACACGCTCAGATTCCTCAGAGGCTGGGATTCTGGGGACTGACCTCACTCTTGTAGGGCAGGGCTGGATCGTGCGTGCGTGTGTGTGTGTGTGTTTCCAAATATGTCTTCAAATTCTCCTGGATTTCTTTGGACAGCACAGATAAAGCAGAGGAAGGAACGGGATCAAGAGCTCTAAATTCTGGTCAGGATATACATACAATCGTGTGAGTGAGAGGTTGCGTGCGTGAGTATGTGTGAATGGTATGAGTGTTCATAGATGTGTGTTTTGGGTCCAGGATCTATGCTCCCTGCCTATGTGTTGTTCTGGGTAACAGGGCAACACCCTGGGCACATCCTGGGTGGCCTAAATCTTGGGCTGACTGTTTGACTAACTGACTGACTGAGGGTGGGTCCTTGCTGGAAACCAGGTCAGGCTTCAGTAGGTGCCTTCCCTTCCCCCTCACCAAGCAAACCATTGCCCAGAGGAGTAACCTCCCTGCCCAGGTGATGCAAACCTGGGTCAGAAACCCCGGGGATGCCCCAGAATCAGGGAAGCAGGCATGCGCCTGGGAGCGACTCATGCCTTGTCCTTCTAGATTCTTTTCCTATTCTCTAAAGGGCCAGCTGGCTTTCCTTTACCCACCCAAAGCACTGATGTCTTGGGGAGAATTTCAGGAACATGCCACAGGAGGGCCCAAGTCTGAGCTGATTTGTTCTTTAGGGGCAGTGGAGAAAGAGAGGGTGAGGCATGGTCCAGGGCTAAGTTCTATGGATGTGCTTTTGCCTTCAATTCTACCCTCACCTCAGTACTCCTTTCTCTGAGGAAAGGAACTAAGAAGCATGTATTAAGTACCAGCTGTATGCCAGGCTCTGGGCTAAGTGGTTTACATATATTAGCTCATTTAATATCCATAACAAAACTATGCTGCACGCCTCATTCTTCTTTTTTTTTTTTTAAGATTTTATTTATTTATTTGACAGAGATCACAAGTAGGCAGAGAGGCAGGCAGAGAGAGAGGAGGAAGCAGGCTCCCCGCAGAGCAGAGAGCCTGATGCAGGGCTCGATCCCAGGACCCTGGGATCATGACCTGAGCCGAAGGCAGAGGCTTTAACCCACTGAGCCACCCAGGCGCCCCTCATTCTTCTTTTAGAGATAGGGAACCTGAGGCTTTGAGATGTTTGTTGGCTTGCTGGGGATGCAGCAGGAGGCTAGTCAATTTGTCTTGAAGCTGTTCTTGAAGTGAAGCACTAAAGATTGAGAAGATGTCGCCTCAAAAAGTGATGGTATTCGAGGAGATTTTGGGACGGGCTAAAGCTCCCCCATCTATCTCCCCAGCGACCACTGTCAATGTCACAGTGAAAACAGCAGCGTTGGGAATCTGACCCCAGGTCTGAGGGTACAACAATTTCCACTAGCAAGACTGTCTGTCCTGGAGAAAATGATCACTTCGATTGAAACACCAAAACGTCTGAGTAGCCAGCTTCTCCTGGTGTTTCCTAAGCAATAATGCTGCTTGGAAGGTTGGCACGTCAGCAAAAAGAGAGGCCTAAAGCACCCTCTGTCCCCACAAGAACCTCACCTTCCCAGGCCTACGTTTCCTCTTCCCTTACCCTCCCCCCCTACTTTCTCCTTATGTGGTTGTAAAGGGAGATTGGGGGGGGGGCCAGGAGAGGGCGCGAC